GACAGCAGAGGGACGGAAGAGCCACATGCAGCTTCAGAGCCATGGGTTGCTGACCCTTGCTCTAAAAGGATGCAATGTCAGGCCTGCAGCAATCTTTTCTTTTGGCTCTTTGGCTGCCACACTTTCTATTATTCCACTATGCATTTTCTATTGTGAGAAAATGGGAGGGGGGGATTGTACGGCGTTAGATGCCATGTAGCCATAGCAAAATTCTTTCTAGAAAGCCAAGGTCATCCTTTATCTTTGCACCTCTGCACCTGACTGGAACTGGATGGGTGAAAGCTGTCAGGGTAGCAGTAGAAGATTGGAGCAGTGATGGACTTGTGGGTGTGTGAGGGCAAGATCTTGAACTTTCAATTAGGTGGGGAAAACCGGAAAGCTTTGAGATTCGGGGTTTCCCAGATGTGCCAATATGGCTCTCTTAATAAATTGGAACTTTGAGCAATACTTTGCCTTGGACTCTGATTTACTTTTGGATGCTATTTGGACCCCTCACATGCAAATGACCAGCTGTCGGCAAGGAAGATAAATCCTTCCATTCTCCACCATCCTGTCAGAGCTGAAGAAGCTTCTTGGATGAGAAGCGAAACATCTTCAAAGAAAAAAACAAGAAAGTCCAGTTGCCTCCTGAAAAAAAAGCACCTTGGGGACAACCATGACCTGGATGACTGAGAATCTCTACACACGATTAGTAAGACGGTTAGTAAGAAAGCATTAAAACATTCCACTGACTTTGTTTGACCCTCCAAAGAAATTCTTCAGATGTTGCTTTGCTGCTGCCACTTTCTCGCAGAGTTGTCGCTCTTTCCTCAAAGATTTGGGGGACGGCAAGCTCCACCCACTTCCTGTTTTGTCCCCTTCCTCAGTTCCCTTTGGGCATGGTACCCCTTGTTGATCTAAGCGTCCCTCGCTTCGGGAGCGCCAGAACCCTCCCGGGTCTTGGAGTGGGAGCTGAGGACAGTTGACCACTTCGGTGTCATCTAAACGAATGCTTGGGGTGCAAGGTTTCTCCTGCTTTTCACAGTTGTTCCTTGGCTCCGGATCCTCACAGCTCTGATGTTGCTTCCGAAGGGTGCTCCGTTGCCATGGCAGGAAGTCACAATCTAGGAGACAACCCTCCGAGCCGCACTTCTGGAGGGGACTCAACATCTAGGTGGAGGAGAACAACATGTTAGTACAGTACATATTCCTTGGAGGTAATTGAATGTCCACAAAGATAGAATAACAGAGTTGGAAGGGATATTGGAGGACTTCTAGATAGGGGTGAGTTGCTACAGGTTCACCTGGGTTCAGGCGAACCTGTAGCTAACGTTTTAGCCAGTTCGGAGAACCTCCAAATCCCAACCCCTGCTTGGCCACGCCCACCCCACCCCTTCCCTCCCCTCCCAGGAGTCCCCATGCGGCCCATTTTGGATGCGAGGTAAGTGCAGGGCCTATGCAGAGGCTTGGAGAGGGGGAAAAAATGGCCTCCTGGAAGTTCCAGAAGGTTCTGGAGGCCTCCGGAGCCCAGGGGAGGCAGTTTTCACCCTCCCAGAGGCTCCAGGAAAGCCACTGGAGCCTATGGAAGATGAATAGCCCGCCACCCCACCCCACCATGGTACAAGGGGCTAACTAGGCCATACCACCATGGTCACACCCACCCAGCAACTGGGCAGAGAACCTGTTGCTCAAATTTTTGAAGCCCACCCCTGCTTCTCGTCCACACACACACACACACACACACCATTCCAGCAGAAAACTCTGTCTGCAAAAAAGAGGTACACACTTCCCCTGGGTGTTCAAGATGACCCACTGGGGACGTGGGGAAAACATTAGAATGTCTACTTCTATTTATCGGGGATGAAAAAATAAACAAGAAATCTGTGAGGTTGCTAACAGCTGGCACAGATTATACAGAACGCAGAAAATGTCATGCTGTATGGGCGTTTTCTGTAGATTAAAAATAAGTAAGAATTTAAACTAGATTATTATTTAAAGCGCAAAATATACAAAAAGCGATATGTTCGGGGGGGTGTCTCTTTTATAATGTAAATACATTAATGTAGTATTAGACATATATAATAATTTATAAGCAGAAAAACAGAGTTGGCAGGAACCCTGGAGCTACTCTAGTCCAATCCCCAGCTCAAGCAGGAAGCCCTATACCCGTAGTGGGGAACCTATGGCACACGTGTCACAGGTAGCATGCAGAGCTCTCTCTGTGGACACATGAGCCGTCGCCCAGCTCAGCTCCACCGTCCATGCGTGCGCACCTCCCACCAGGCAGCTGATTTTTGAGTCTCTGCCGCACATGCAGGATGCGTGCATGCATGCATGGGGGAGAGGGGTGCGTGTGCATGCACGGGGGCTTCCCCTCACCCCATTTTTGGTCCCAGGAGGCTTCAGTGAGGCCTGCTAGGCCCAAAACGGGGCACGAGGGGGTTTCGTGCCTATGCGTGAGGAGAGCACTGGGATCAGGGTGAGCGCTGGGGAGGGTGTCATGTGTGCATGCGCAGAGCCGCATTGCATTATGAGTATGGGCACTCACACGAGCACGATTTCGGCACACAAGGAGAAAAAGGTTAACCATCGCTCCCCTATTCCATTTTGAACAAATGATTGTCTAGTCCCTTCTTAAAAGCCTCCAGTGTTGAGGCACCCACAAGTTGTTCCACTGGTTAATTATTCTCACTGTCTGGAAATTTCTCCTCAGTTCTAGGTTGCTTGTCTCTTTGATTAGTTTCCAGTCACTGCCCTCAGGTGTGTTTGGGGTATAGGTAGAGCCGAGGTGGCACAGTGGTTAAATGCAGCATTGCAGGCTACTTCAGCTGACTGCAGTTCTGCAGTTCGGCTGTTCAAATCTCACCGGCTCA